TTCATTTTGTATTAAACAATGATAGGTGGTTTTTTTAATTAAAATGGTCCTCGCATTTAAGAAAAGCAAAACATCCATTGACAATGTCTTAAAAAACTTGTGCAGGAAAATCAAAGACCCATTTATCCAGTAGTGTACAAAAAAAAAGAAAAAAAGAAAATTGCCCTGCGATATACTACACTGCTTATGTATGATTTGAGAATTCAACGTAAGGAATTAATGTACACATTGTCCTTAGTCCTTAGATGTCTATAGAATAAAAAATAACTAAAATCAGGGACACTTCTGAAAACACAACAAATCAAAACTACCACTTAAGCAACCACAGTTATATATCCAGCATCTTCTATTATTAGCAGATTTAGACTTATACCTTTTGTCTCCTGCAGCAGAAAGGTGAATAATCTCAGCAGTTCAAGTTTAGCCATTCATCACGGCGTTATTTATTATAGGCACACATCTCAAGAGGCTTGAGGACAGAGAGAGAAGGGGCGTGACTTCCAACGGTCTTATACCCCAGGTAGTGACATCACAATCATGTGGTACAGCCCTAACCAATGAACACAGTTAGTAGTCGCAGCTACTTACATAAACAATATATGGTACACAGTAATACATGGAGTCATACACTATACATGTCTGTATGTTATATCTCAACAATAATCAACAACTTAGTCACTTTGGAGCCACAGTCTTGTATAGTGATGGCGAAATGAAGCCTTATGAAGCTTTCCAGCCAATTGGTTCGCAAAAGGGTTCATCTCATGTATCTGAACACAAACCCCTGTTGGTCAAAGTGTGTAAAACAGGCAGATTGGACATCTCAACAGTGTGCTCTATCTCATACCGAGTTCCCAATGAGTAAAGCCTTAGAATAACTCTAAACAACGAACATAAAATCATATTTTCATGTTAACAATATTATTTGTATTCCAGTTGAATGATTGTGATTGAAAAGCCTAAGGAGGCTGGTAAACATTGCAAAGAGGGATTTGTATTCCTTAATAATATTCGTAAACTTAACCATGTTGTAGCCTGAGAAAGGCTAAACCATATCAAAGAATACATTTATTAACTACATTATCTCATTTAGCTGTAGCTTTTATAAACAACAACAAATATTTATTGTTCAGTCGTTGAACCAGGGACCCTGTGGTCATGAGTCAACTGCTTTCCAGCTGAGCCACAGCACACACACTGAATCTCTCTGACAACACTGGACCATATTTATTCCTGTATTTATTCATGTTTTTATTCCTACATTTATTTATGCTTGTATCTATTTATACTTATGACATGTTCCGACCTCTATATAAGTGAGGGTCTGAGCTCTCTTAATTCCATCGTGTCACCGGGCCCGGGTACAGGAGGGACCCGTAATATGGTTCTTATTATACATCCATGGCATGGGTAATATGAGCGCTGTGGTTCAACGGTTTAACCGATCTGAATCGCTTCCTGAAGCAGTCACGTGGTATCGACAGGCAGCGAGGCTTCGTTTGTCATCGATGACTTCACTGGCCCAAAACGATACAAGCCTCGATACATGCTTCACAAAAAGCTTCGGGGATTACTCGACACACGCTCCGAAGCCTCTGCGCAATACGTAACATCACTAGTCTTGTAGTCCAGCTTCAAATAAATATTCAGAGTCACCAGCAGCAACAGGTCGACACTGACTGCTCTGTGAATGCTTGACTTCTCCCAAAAAAATAATCCTATGGAGACAAAAGGCGTCCATTTTTAAAGAAGTCAGCCTTTACCGCAATGATTATGGACACTTCTGTGTAGTGCTGCGTACCTGGACTCACATTCAGGTTCAGGTCCGGACTCAAGTCCAGAGGTTCAGGTTCAGGTCCGGACTTATAAGTCCGGACCTGAACCCATGGCTTGTGTCAAGTTGTGTGACTAAAGTGAACTTATTGTGAGCTAATTATCAATTGAAAATTAACTCATAATCAACTCAAATTCAAACTCGTCAGGTTTATTGTGCTCCCTTCCAACTTGTGTCTACATTTCTCTACAAAGTACAAATGTAAAAAAAACAACTTTTTGCCACTTAGTCTACAAATGACTTGACAGCAACTACAGTGAACTACTACAAAGTGCAAACATTTATTTCATTTACCAAACTAAAGTAACCAAACAGTCCCTGAGCTGACTGAGCCTAAATCCCTAAAACGTTGCTGAAAGGTAGAGTGTAGAGTAGACTATACGCATTACACTGTTACACACCTACTATACAGTATAGGCTACGCTACACTGTAGTGACTGTACAGTCAGAGTGTACTGTACTGTCTGTACACCATGTATTTTCTACATGTGTACATTATACAGTACATACTACATACATAGTGATGTACATACATACTGTTAGAAATTAAAATCAATGTTGATATGGCGTAATTTTGAATTAAATACACTATTTAATTTAAATCAGTTTTATTCTGAAAGAACCGGAAGTTCACACTATTAACGTAATACTTTTATTCTGAAAATTATTCACTTCCGGTTAGCATTAGCATGTAGCGAAATGCTACGTTTTCAAACCATGAATCGAAGGTGAAATGACATGTGACGTTGTACACTGAGCACACTGGGATTAGCACTGATTTATTGACGCTGAATAACGTTTATCAGGGAATGTTTAAATAACCACAGACACCAGAATATGCGTAAATGCTAGTTTTTTTGCCAAGTCCAAGTACCGGTTCCCGACGTTCCGGTTTTAACCGGACTTGAACCGAAACTTTTTACAAGTCCAGTACCGGTTCGGCGTACCGGTACGCAGCACTACTTCTGTGCATTGTACGCTGATAGTGGATCCCTCATTGAATTGTGGTTCACTGATTTGACTTTCTGTGTCAAAACCTAATGCAGCAGTTTTATATTCCCTTCCTTCAGCATCGATCATTGGTCCATCTCTCAAAGTTCGAATGGCGTCTGCAAAGCCAAAAGCAAAAAGTGACAGCAGTGCCACAGAGGCTGGCCGAGCTGCCGTCACCATTGTGCTCTTTTATCAGAAGAACAGGAAAGCAAAGTAAGCAAACACAACACTACCAGTAGAACAAGTGATAATTTAGGAAATCTAAACCATACTGAATTTAAATAAGATGCAGAAGGTTCAAACTCTCAATGTCAAATACTTCCCAGTGCAGACTAATCACATGGAGAGGACAGCTGGAAGCAATTACTCATTAACTGATGAGAATTAAAGCTGCAGTCACACCGAAATACCTGCATGTGATTGGCCCACATATGTCCGCATCTGTAGCCTGTTATTGTCTCATTATACCGCACTGTGAATTAATCAAAGTAAATATATAAGTCATCATGAACACATCTGTCCATCAGGCAGAGGGCTGCTGTGCCTCCTGTCATCATTAATGGACGTCTCTTTAAAATGACCGCTCAGAGGAGAGGAGTTCTCATTTCTCTAACCGCCTGCTGCTTCCCCTCCTCTCTCCTCGGTTCCCCTCCTCAGTCCTCCGCTCGCATCTCCTGTGGGCGGCACCAAGTCTCGAGGAGGGGAGTCGAGGAGGGGAAATTTGAGTATTGAGAAACCTCTCGTGACTAACAAGAGAAAGATTCATTCATTTAAATAAATATTTAACAACAAATGGGCCGGTTCTAAGGGGTTCTTCAGTTAAGCCCGATGAGAGGGGATACAGCTATGCACATGTCATCATTAACAGACGTCGTTTAAAAGCGACGTTTGAGTGAACGAGGACGTCCCAATTAATACCTGAGGACTCCTCTGTCCTCGCGTCACCTCATCGTGTCTCTCGCTCGCATCTTATGGAGGCGGAGCTAAGACGCAAGGAAGGGAAGCGAGTGAGGGAAAGGAGGAGTCGAGGAGGGGTATTGGGATGAGGCTAATTTCCAGAGGAAGGGCAGCGTTACCCCTGGGGCTGATGGGTAATCACTCCCAAATTAGTTTGGGGAACAGAGACTAGGCATTTGAGTCCTGCAGGGTTTCCCCGTTAATATCAGTGTCTCGAAAACACATGTTGGCGACTGAAAGACATCCAGTGTTTGGTCTTTTCCTGAAGCACCCTTCACCTACAGTGTCTCAACTGAAAGAGGACCACAAACACACAACAAATATAATACCATTTTGGGATATTTATCTCCCATTCTTTCACTTTTTCTGACATTTTCAACACCAAACATGTCGTTAATGTCTCTGTTTAGTGAACTACAGCAATCTGAAAGCCTGTACATTATTTATATCACACTTTATCAGTAGAAAAATGTAGGAAATTACTTTTTTTAATGCAGTATTTTCTGATTTATGGCGCAACACAAAGATATTTCGCTCTGTGCAAACCTTTGACTCTAATATGTCAACAACATGAAACAAGAATATGAACCTGGCTTTATCCAATGTTCACACAAGAGTTCTGGCTTTCCTACATCCTGACACATCCTTCATCATCACTGTCTCAACTGAAAGAGGACCAGAAACACATCAAAAATATAATAAAATGTGGAGACTTTGGGATATTTATCTCCCATTATTTAACTTTTCGGGCATTTTACAGACCAAACATGTCGTTGATGTCACTGTTTACCAAACTACCACTTTTTGTGAAAAATGAATAAAATGATATATGTTAATTAAATACATGGTTTATTCATGTCATTTCTGGGGTTCCATTTCTTCTGATTACCTCATTTGGGCGTGCACATTTGACGCGCGCAAACCTACCTCTTTTGGATTTGGAAAGGTTGGCATGTATGTGTTATATTCTAACGTTCCTGATTGCTTAGATACAAGATCCACAACATGATTAGTTTGTGGACCTTTGTTTAGATTGTTTTTCTTTCTTAAAGCAGTAAACAGAAAAGCAACTATACTTTAAAATGTTTTACCTTACTAAATAGTCAAATCTGGTAGTCTTGGTTTTACAGCGATTCACGATATACTGTACAGAGACAGTTATTTGTATTTCTTTTATCAAAAGGATTGTTTGTGTATACAAATATAATATAACATATTTTCATATAACAGCTTTTTATTTAACTAATTCACCACTCACTGCTTATTATGAATCCCCAAAGTGTGAGGCATACAGTATGTCATTAGCATTCAAATGTGAAAAAGCCAAAAATAACCTTGGACAATTTCAGCATAAGTGTATTTTACATTATAATGTTGATCAGTGTAAAAAGCAGTACGGCCGGCAAATATTATTAGTACTTTTGCTTCCCCTGCCTCATTTTTCAGACGTCAGGATCAGACCCAGCTTGGATCCAGACAGGGTGCTGCGACTGAAAGCACATATTTTTTAAAAAAAAACTAAAAAGCATGAACAAACTAGAGTCCACATGGAAATTACTATGAGACTAGCATGTTAAGGAAAGTAAACACAACTGTCCAACTCAATGAAAGCTATAGGATAGGGATCAGTAAGCATCATAGGGAGGTTGACAAAAACAGGCGCATCCTTTCTAAAACAATAGTCTGTGTCAAGTTCTGTTGTGCCGTTGAGCTAGCCCTGCGCTGTAACGTTGCTGTGGTGTTTTACCGCTCAGTGCTTCTCTGATAAGAGCAGGTCTAGGAACAGCAGATTAGAAATCCATACTCGGCTATTAATATTAGGAGTTATTAGAGGATTAGTTAGATAGATAAACGTTGAAAAAAGATCAGCAAACCACAATGTCTAGGAGCCTCTTAGCAAAACACATGTCAAAGGAACAACAGCCTTCCAAAAAAATTACCTTGAAGAATTTAACAAAACATGATTTCTCCAAAACCGGAGGCAATGCCAAAATAGAACAACAATAGAATAAGAATTACATGTATTTCACAACACCATCCTGTAAAGACTGCAGGTCAACTGTCCAAACAGATTCTACCCTCTCTACACTCACAAATGTGTACCCTTTTATGTTTTGTTATCTTTACTATTTATTTTGTGAGTATATCCGTGTCAACCACATGTGTAAGAACTTAAAAAATTAAAACTACTAATAAAAATTACAACGTCTGTTTTCTCTTATCAGTGGTGAATCTTGTTGTCTTGGTTTTACAGAGACTCATAACTACAGAAGACACAGTTATTTTGTATATCTTTCATCAACATAATTTGTTGTGTTTGTATTATGAAATAATATAATAATAGCATCATGTAACAATTTTTTATTGAATTACAAGTTCACCACTCACTGCTTAATATGATTCCCTGCAGTGTGAGGCTTATGTCATTGGCATTGAAATGTGAAAAAGTAGCTAAATGACTAGGACAATGTCAGCATAGGATAAATGTATTTTACGGTATAATTTTGATCAGTGTAAAAATAATCAAAGAGTAAGTAAAGGTGCAGATAAGAATTGAGGTCTTCTTCCTTAATCAGAGTTGGTTTCACATTCGTTTGTAAACGTAGATGATTCTTTGGCACGAAGGACAACGGTGCTCCACATCTTGACAGGAATCAACGCAGAATGGTATAAAACAGCAAAGAAAACACCTGTAGGAGGAAACAACGTCAATTATAACTCTACAATTAACAACAGTTCTTAAAGGTCCCCTATTATACTGTTTTTCATCAATATATAGGTCTCAGATATATACAAAACATGTCTCTGAAGTGTTTGGCTCGAAATACCAAACAGATCATTGTAGCATCCCATAATCCCCTGTTTCAGCCCTGTTTCAAAAGTGTGCTGATTCTCTGTCTGTTACTTTAGATGAAAATAAGGAGCCCCTCCCCACGCCCCTCTGAGAGATATTTGGTTAAAAAACCCACAGTGGTGCTCGAGGAGGAGATTCAGGTGATAAGGTGGGCGCGTCTTTCCTTGGTTGGTGATTGGCTAATGGTTACACAAACCAAAATCGTTATGACATCATAAAGTGGCCAAAATCTGATCAGCTCATTTTCAGACAGGTTTTTATATAAATGGATCAGGACAAAAAGTGAGCGAATCTTTTTTCCTGAACATTTCAGAATATCTTTACACAGAAGGGACACATGTATAAAAGACACGAAAAAGTGGATTTTGCATAATAACTGACCTTTAAAGGAGGATATTCTGGTGTGTTTCAGAAACATTTTCCCCCCATAAAACAGACACTACAAGAAAATATTGTTGTTTTTACCCAAATAAGCCGAGGCCAGCACAGATAGCCCAGGTCATCAGGCCTGCTGTGCGCTCTATCCTGGTGATCACTGACTGCTGGCAGTGGGGACAGACAGTTTGTCCTGGGACGTCATGTAGTACATGTCCTACTATCAAGTGAGTCACTGAGGATGACAAATGCACAAATTGCTTAAAAATAGTACAATGCCCCATTTCTCACAGCAATATTTGATCATTGAAAACCAGTAGCAATAAATTGAATATTTTTTAAGAGTTACCTATTTCATTTTTGTAACACATCATTTCGTAATCCGTGTTCCAGCCAGCTAGGCGGATATATTACATTATTACATTACATGTTAGACACTTTTATCCAAAGCGACTTACATACTCAATACTGTGGACAATCCCCACAGGAGCAATTTGGGGTGTAGTGTCTTGCCCAGGGACACAACGACATGATGATTGCAGTGGGGTTTGAACCTGTGCTCCCCTAATACGAACACCAACGCACTAGACCACTGTGCCACAGCCGTCCCTATATATCCTTTGTTTCTGTAGAATTTCCATTTTTGGGCATTCATTCAAAGATTTGAGAATACAATTTACTGAATGCATTGAATCAACATGACCAGCAGAGGCTGCTAATAGAACACCATCTGTATTTTGGTAAGGAGTTGCTGTTAGTGAGCCACCCAACCATAGAGGGTATTTATAGTAATATATTATAGATATTTTTAGTAATGGAAAGCTCAGATTTGACTCATAGTGTAGAATGAAACTGAGAGACAGTAACATGAAAAATATCTAAATGTGTGTTAATCTGACCCACTGTCACCTTATTATGTTGTTATATGTATTTATATTTGGAGCTAACCTAAAGAAGTTCTTTAACTGGAATAGCTTACATCTGTTGCAACAAGAAATACTCAAAATGTGACTGCACGCCACAAAAAAAGACAGTGGACAATAGCTTTTTGTTCTGCACATCCGAAACAAATGAACTATTCTTCTGATAACTTTGGTAGGAAACTGAGGACTTCACCCACTGACTCTGAGGCTCTGTGCAGGGGCAGTTCTAACTCCACAAGCTGGAACAGAAACATGTTCACTATCTGTATGTATTGTGTTTCACATAGGACAGATTGTGCTTGGTCTCACCTGTTGTGGCAGGAACAGCAGTGGCTGGAGCATAGGCAACATCTGCAGATGAAACAACATTTATCAAATCAGGAAAGTCAGATCAGAGCAGATATTTCTTTAAATCACCTTTACCGTACTTTAAGTACTGTATTATTATATTCATAGCATAAAGCGCATACAAGTGCAATAATGGTAATCTAATTTATTTATATTTTGGGGATTTTGATCTATCATTGTATACATCACGTTTTGCTTTTTTGGTGTTTAAGTATATAAAATGTTCTGTTAAGGCTTTATAAAGCAAGACATTATTATACACACATTTTTTTCTCACAAAGGAAAGACGTTAAAGGGGCTCTTTTATGCTACATTTTAGAAGTCATACTTGCATGTCGTCATAACAAAAGGGTATTCCCTAAAGAAAGGTCTTTCACTGTGTAGTGCAACTTCAACTGACTGTTTATCTTTAATAATGCACCGTTTATTTATATTATACAGTGTTTACAGCACAGAGGCAGCACTGCAAGCCTTCAATCTGAAAGTGTATGAGGAATGTTTGACAGTGTCCTTATGTCAGAGCAAGAGCAGATTTTAAACACGGTGCTACGGAGGTTAAGAAAACAATGTCCATCCATTGGGAATGTTTCATCCCAAAAGTGCTTTATGTTTCTCTGCAGAACCTCTTTTCACCCTCTGTCTGAAACTAGAGTCCTCTCTGATTGGTTAGCTGGCCGGCTCTGTTGTGATTGGTCAATAGCTTAGAGATGTCCCGCCCCTAAGCCTGTCACGCATAATGTGAAGGAGCGCTAGCCAATAGAAAAACCATAATAGGGCCCCTTTAAATTGTGTTGTTGGTCTCAAATAATCCTGGGCAAGGTTAGGAGGACATTAAAAAAAGTATCATCTTTGAAAGCAGTATGGCAGACACAGACCTCCCTGGTACATGGGTGGGGGGTGCGGGGGGTAGTAGCCCGGCTGAGCGTACGGCCCTGGCTGAGCGTACGGCCCTGGCTGAGCGTACGGCCCTGGCTGAGCGTGCGGCCCTGGCTGAGCGTGCGGCCCTGGCTGAGCGTGCGGCCCTGGCTGAGCGTACGGCCCTGGCTGAGCGTACTGCCCTGGCTGTGGCATTGCACCGCCATGGTTCATAGGCGGCCCAGGGTAAGGTGGAGCTTGTTGCTGTGGTGGGTATCCTTTTTCCATCTTCAAAAAATGTACTGCGGATGAGAAAAGGGTATTTTTGTTGGTTAATCAAAAGGCTCTAAGTCTTAACGGTAGTTATAAACATAAAATGCATTGTATTGCTGCCACGAAACACAGTACAGCACAAACAGTATGTGAACACTTTTCATTACATAGTGGTAATAGTGTGCATAGTGCATAGTGTGATGAAAATCTTGTGAAGTAGGGTATGCTTCGATATGCATGGTTTAACATTGTACCACTAAGATTACTGTTGTATCTAGAAATTGTCATTTTATTATTTTTTATTTTATAAATATTATAACAGGTTAAAGGAAAAGGGAAATGAAATAGATTACTGAATGTTTGTTTCATAGGTCTTCAAGCACATCCTCCAACTTATGTCACGCATAGTTTACATATAATGTCAACAAAAAGGTTACAGTCTTAAAAAAGGACAGTGTCAATGAAGATACAGAAATACAGATTAAGGAATCCTAAACTGTAATTCTACCTATGTGATTCTCTAACAAGAACATACTCCATATTTTTCAACTACCAAACCTTCTCAAGAAGCCCAGACTCAATTTCAAGGCCCTTTAATCTGATTTGAGTAATCTGACTATTGAAGATGTGGAACTAGTTGATACTGAGGATTCATAACCGTTTTTCACGCCCCCTCCCCTTCACTTGGCTGATCGCGAAGTTAAGTATACCCCTAATCAAATCCCTCAACAACTTCCACCGAATACCTCCTCCAGTAGCACTTTGCTCCCTATCACTCCAGAAGCACTTTACCTTTATTGCATCACATAACCCCTTTGAGAAGCTCAGATTTAATTTCCTTTGTGTTCTTTAGGTTTGGTTAGGAGGAAAAAAGGTATTTTATCAAATGTAGATGTAAGCAAAGAGGGAGCTATCTAAACAGCACCTGGGTTTATTAAGCTCAACTCAGATTTATTGATTAAACTTTCAGCAGTAGGAATTCAATTATAACACAGCTTCACTTCCGCATACTAACTTAGCTTTGCAGAAGAAGAGCACTCTGACCACAGATTACACATCCTCTTTACAAAACCACACAACCGTGAACACCCACAATGACTGTCTTCACATTGTCATTTATACATTAATAAAAAACATCGGTAATGGCTTATTAAGACATTATTTACATACACATGATATATGTTATCATATACTCCAAGTATTAAGTAGTATGAGTAAGCAGTACTTTGACTGTTGTATTTGGTAAAGATATAATCGTATTGTTTATTTTATTCATTATTATTAGTAGTTTTATATATTACTGTGCATCGTGTGTTATTAGGTAATCATATGTTGTGTATTTAATCTGTAAAATAACCATTAACTTAATGTGGTATGCCTCTGAAGTTTTTGTTGAAGGGTGTCAAAGTGACTGAAAAAATGCAAAAACTCAAGTACATAACAAGTGCTAAGAAACTGTAGGAAAATATACTACTTGAACAAATGCACTTTCCTCCCTTCCTCCTTTGGAGATGTGTAGCAGCAGGCTTGTTACTGGTCTTTGACAGGCAAA